AGATCATTTGAAATGTTAGCAGTGTTAATATTTGATATAGCCCCATTAAATGAATTTCAAACAAGTATGTTGTTCAGATTTTTAAAGAACTCAATCTCTTCATGTGGATATACCAGATTTAGGTAAATCAACACTTTTCAGAACAGAGGGTTATGATATTCTTGGAGGTTACACTATATTCCTACACAGCTAGGAAAGTGTAAATCCAGGCTCATTGAATACATATTGACTTCTTCCATAAAGGTTAAATCTATTTCAATATTGACAATTTTTCTTCTCCATATTAGGAATCTGAGATAGCCAACAAAAAAAGGCTAAAGAAATTCTAGAATTAGAAGAAAAACTTGTTTAGGATATCACCTTTGCAGAGGCCACAGGTTCAAGACGAGGACCAGTGAAATTAAAGAGAAAGCGGGAAAAGTACGGGCATAAATGATCACTGAGGAAGCTTGGGAGTAAAATGTGAGGAAGATGGCTTATGGAGCACACTGAACATTGCAGTGGCTTTAAAACATGTCTGCAGATTATCTGACACTCACCCCTTCAAAAGGTTAAGAAGACATTTGTTCCGCTCTTGGAACCATGACAAACTTTGCCACTGCCTTGATGAACACAATGCAGTAATGACACTGCACAACTTTAAAGGTTGGGTTAGAAGAACTCATGCCACCCCTGGGATCCTGGTTCTGAGAGCCTGTAGAAGTCTGGCTCCCTTGAAGCTGCCATGGGGTGAAACCAGGTAAAGAGGCTACTGAGAATGAATGAGAGAATGAGAGAGAGACAGACAGAGAGACACTGACTTAAGGAGCTCAGCTTTTTGAACTTTTTGGTCCAGGAACTAGAAATGTGATTGAAAAAGCCTGGGAGATGATTCCAGCCCCAGCTGTCTTCTGAGTACAATTACATGAGAGTCAATTTTTTAGCTGAGTCTCTCATCCCCCAGATTTTAAGAAAGCTAAATAAATAAATGCTATTTTTTAAGCTACTGTTTTGAAGTGGCTTGTCATACATTAATGAATAATTAGAAAAGTATGGCCTTTGAAATGAGCTGGTCACACCACACAAATGCTTAATATGATTTAACATGTATATATAGAATTTCCTAATTTTGCTTAATATCATTTATTATATACTTAGGGTATCAAAGGGCAACAGATATGTAGAAGAAATATCTAATGTAAGCCAGTAAACTTTTATAAAAGAGATTCATCCACTCTACATATATTTATTGAGATTCTACTATATGCTGAGTAATCTTCTAGACTCCAGAGGCATGACACTGAGTAACACAACAAACAGATATAAGTTATTTGTCCTTATATACAGTGTCATGAAAAAGACAGATGGTAAATTTTAAAAAAGTATAAAATAACTCCAGGTAGTTATGTGACAAGGAAAACAATAGATCATTCAAGGGATTAGGGGTTGATTACCTAAGACAGGGTAATCAGAAAAGATCCTTTCCAGAAATGGTATTTGAAAATTAATATTCCAGGCTGAAAGAACAGCAGATGTTTAAGCCCTGAGTTGTGAAACAGTACAAGAAGAACGACGTGTCATAAGTAGAGTGGGTAAAGAGGAGACATGGAATGACAGCTGGGGATTTGAATTCCATCGTAGGGGAGGTGGGAAGCCATGGGAAGAATCGGATCAGGAAAGGAGATGATTCAGACAGTCTAGCTCTTGCATGAATGTAACAGAGATGGCTAGATGTTGACCCAAATCCATGCCCTCTTATTCCTGGCACACAGTATGGATACATTTCTCAGCCTTCACATTATTGGGTGTGACTTGAGCCTAAGGTCCAGCCAACAGAATGTGATTGAAACTAACACACATCTGGCCCATAAAAGTCGACTGTGTGTGTTCACTTAAGCTCCTTCCCACTTCCAGCTGACAGGGATGGAGGTTAACACTCGGAGTAATCTTTGTAGCCACAGACTGAAGACGGCAGAAGTATCATCACCCTGGGTGCCTGTGTGACGGCACGGAATAGACGCTCTACCCCTACACTACACTGCTGGCCCTCCCCAACACGTCACACACACAAATACCACCACCAGCATGATCAACTAGGAAACACCCTAAACTCCTTCATGGAACAAAGCTGAAGTATCTCTGTCTTGAGTAATTACATGTATGGGTCTGTTCCTTCACTCAGCCTTGTTTACCTTATCTAATACGGTCGATAAACACCCCTTTCTAAAAGAGGGGCTGGAGTGGAAAGAAGGTTAATAAGAAGGCTATTTTAATCAAGCAGGGTATATACACTGATTGTTTACACAAGGGTGGTAACAGTGAAATTGGCAAGGTATGGTGAGATTCAGAGCATAGTTTAAAGATAGGACCAAGAAGACTTAACTGATGTTCACACTTAAGAATGTCAGCTACCAATTTTGAAATGTCTTAAACCTTCTATACTCTCGTGAAACTAGATAATAGAACAGACTTTCCCTGATTCACTTTTGATGAAAACAAAATCCACAGGATTCCACAATGAGTGTGAAACAGATCTCCTTGTGTGGAATTTTCAGAGAAAGTGAAAGAAACTCCACTGCAAGATTCTTGGGCTTTATAGATAATTAAGCACAGAAAAAGGGTCAGAGATCAAATTTGATTGGAAGGATATCTTCAGATGAAATTGAGATGAAGCTACTTCCAGGCCCAAGGGGGCAGAACCTGTCTATTTCATCTCAATCCTACTGAGGGACTTTTCATGGGACCTGCCAAATCTCTGAAATACTCTCCCTGAAATGATGTCTGACATATCTGAGGAAAGCAAAACCCATGTGACAACAGGATAGAGGTGGCTACATTGGAGTCTGTGTGCTCTCCCAGAATTTATTCGTCAGCATTTCTGCTTACAGCTGTGAGTCGCACAGGGAAGGAGAGGTAGTGTGGGCTTCTTGTCTTGGACTCTGTTGAGCTGGCTGCCTGGAGGAGAGAGAGGAGCCCTCAGCAGAAAGGTAAGGGTGCAGGAGTACGGCACAAGATGCTCGGGGACTGTGGCACATCGACGGACCAGGGAGAATCCGTGATGAGAGATCTTTCCCTGGTGCATCCAGATGTGCATCTCTTCTAGGTAGAGAAATCTCTCAAGAGCCCATTGATATGCTACAGAGAAAAAAATGTTTTATACAGAGACGACCTTCCTACCCTGCCCCAAGTCAGGGAGATTAGAACCCGGCTATCAAGTCAAGGGTTGGGTAGGAAAAAAGGGGGTGGTGAAAAGACAAACAAGAAGAAGCCAACCATATCAGCTCCCATCCCCTCTCCCATTGCAGGTCTCCAGCCCAAAGTGGACCCAAGCTGGGCTGGGGAGAAAATTTTGCATTAAATCAGGTTTGTAGTTTTTTTCACTATTTTGGATCATACATCCAAAACACTGACCTAATGCATGATTGTGATTTGAATGCATTGTAGGGATCTCTACTTTTAACAATGAGCAGAAGGATCATGGCTGACTTTTCTTCTGAAGCAGGGAAAGATAAAGCCACTGAATAAAATTTTGAAAGACCACAGGACACTAAAATACAGTAATGTCTTGATCATGTTATGAACCATGCTTGTTCAACATAGCAGCTCATTCAATTCACAGCAGAAGAGAAATGTGGGCATTTCTAAATACAGTGACTCACAACAACAGAGAACTTGAGGTGGGAATGACACACTATTTATAAGAAGTTTGGAAGTATCTTTGTCTTGAGTAATTACATGTATGGGTCTGTTCCTTCACTGAGCCTTGTATACCTTATCTAATACGGTCGATAAACACCCCTTTCTAAAAGAGGGGCTGGAGTGGAAAGAAGGTTAATAAGAAGGCTATTTTAATCAAGCAGGGTATATACACTGATTGTTTACACAAGGTTGGTAACAGTGAACTTGGCAAGGTATGGTGAGATTCAGAGTATAGTTTAAATAGGACCAAGAAGACTTACTGATTATCACACTTAAGAATGTCAGCTAGCAATTTTGAAAATCAGGCTACCCAACATGTACCTAGGAAATCAACATAATTTTCTTATCAAATGTATTAAGCAACTGCTTGTCTCCTGACCTGGAAGAAATGTGGCTCAATCACTGCAGTTTTTTTAAAGGATCATAAAAAAAGGCATTGCTGCTATATTTATGAATGTCTAACAAAATATTAAAACATGAGATTCCTCTTCAGTTTTGAGCTTCTGATCTGCATGGAGGGTTATCTACATTAGTTAACGTGCTCTCTATTTTAAAAAATCAAATGATGTATTCAGAAATGTTTCCAGTTTTATTCGTGTCTAAATCTTACAATCTTATTTTTTTCCATGGATATTCTCAAATGCTAATGGGACTTCTATGCACAGAATATCTTTGTGCTTGCTCAAAAAACCTGGTCTGTGGATCTTGATTTAATTACAGAAAGGAATAGGGGGAAAATGAACCTAGAGTTCCATTTTTGCTGTATCCATGACACAGTTAATCCAAGACACTGCAGAGGTCGACAAATTCAGAAGACTTGAAAATAATTTCTGTGATATAATAAAAAGAAAGCCATTTTTCTTGAACTGAATTTCTTGGACTTTGTGGCAGAAATCAAATGCCTCATACTACTATAGCAGTTTTTCTCCCCACAGTTTAATCTAGGACCTGTTAACCAAGGCTATTTCTAGACTCAGTGAGATTACATACAGACTTGATTTTACGAATTATGCGAATGCCTCTATGCCACATTTGGATTTTCATCTTTCTTTTTAACTAAGAACATACTATAAAACTATTCCATGGTATCACTAAGAATATATTATGAAAAATATTCAATGCAAATAAAAAGCATTGTTATGAAGTAGGAATCTTGGGTTCTATTCATAATTAGACATCATTCATCACTTATAAACCATTTTCTCTATATGTTGTATATATACAAAATTTGAGGAAATATTTTACCTCGAACATGATTTGCCTTGTCATAGCCTGGCTAACTCCCAGGAATTTATGTTGTAACATTCTCTAAGCAAACTTACCTCTCACAATGATGTTGGTGGACTTTTTTGCAGGGTTTCCCACATTATTATTGGCAATACAGCTGTAAGTACCAGCATCTTCCGAGGTGATGGCAGGTATGGTCAAAGTTCCTCCATTCAGAACAGTCTTTTCAGGCAGAGTCCCAAAGGACCTGACCCAGGTGAGAGAGGGTACGGGCTCTCCTCCTGTCGTAACACATACTAACGTTATGGCCTCTCCAGGGTTTACAACTATAGGGTCATCCACCAAGAGTTTAATTGACGGAGATGCTAAAAGACATAAACAAAAGAACATGCACCTGTTTAGATCCACTACAACCAGAATTCAACAGTATGCCTTATATTTTTTCACACAGTTAAAGTGAAATATTGTCCTCTTTCGCCAAAATCTCATTGTATTAATCAAATTTAAGCCACATATAATGGTTATTTATTTTAATTATGTGGTATAAACCCACAAAACTGTGTTTAGAATCTTACATGTAGAGAGGGGAATTAAAATTTACATATTCCTGGATTATTGTTTCAAAATTAGAATGACAAGAGGGATCAAAGTTTTAAAACAAAAATCTCTTTGTCTTTTAATGTTATCACCATTTGTTTTTGTCCTTCCAGGTTTAAATATTACAGCTATATAATAATCTCCCAGGTGAAATTGTTTGGAATTTTGGAGGGTTAAAAAATATGTAGATAAATATCCATTCAATAAAAAATGCTGTTTTACAGATTTTTCATCAAACATTCAAAACAGAAACTGCACAAAAACTATGTTCACATATAGCAATTTCCTCTGCTTACACTGCAGTGCCAGCCTATGTAATGTATCCATAAATAAAAAACAGGGGCATGCATTGTGGTAATGTTTAAGTTCACAGATTCAGAAATATCTGATGTCAAAGTAAAAACTGTATTGCATGAAATCAACCCACATTAGGGCCACTTAAAGTGTTCAACTGTACTGTGTAGTTTTTAAGATATTAATTACAGTTTAGAGATGAAGAATGCTTTTCTCAGAATAAAAAGTAAATGTGCGTGGTTCAATATGTCTGCCATTTATATATGTATATATGTGCATGTATACGTATAAACACATACACACAAAATGGAATACTACTCAGCCACAAAAAATGAAACCATGCCATTTGGGACAACATGGATGGACACTGAGGGTATTAGGCTAAGCGAAATAAGTCAGAAGGAGAAAGACAAATACCATATAATTTCATTTATATGTGGAATATAAAAAAAGAACACAAAAAACCACAAATGTACAAAATAAACCAAACAAAAACAAACATGTAGAAAACAGAGTAGTGGTTACCAGGAAAAGGGGCAGAGGGAGGGTGAAATGAATAAAGGGGATCAACTGTACAGTGACTGATGGAAGTTGAACTGCTGGTGGTAAGCACACTGAAGGGTTTTCAGAAGTAAAAACTTAATGTACATATGAAACTTAAATAATGTTACAAATCAATGTTGTCTAATAAAAATATTTTTTAAAAAGTCAGAGGAGAGCAAGAAAACAATTCTATATATTATCATGGTTTGGTGGGATAGGCATGAAATGCCTGGTGACCTTTTTAAACATCACTGTTACACGTTGGTACTTTCTAACATCATTTTAAGTACTGGAGAAGCTTCCAAAGTATCTTAATAGCCTTCTTGAGGTGTTGACTTTAAATTATAAAGCTTTATGATCAAAAACCTGTTGGGAAATGTACATACTGAAAATAAGAGACAAAAGACACTGCAATTTGGTAGGAAAAAAAGCATCTCAAAGAGTTATTTAATGTTGAACTGAGAAAAAGATATTACTAATTAAATATTTTGAAAATAGATATTATACTTAATTATTGATATAGCATTATGAAAATAAAGGAAATCCGTATAGTTCAATTTGAGGTTAACAGTATAATCTTACAAAGGTATTTAGTTAAAAATATAATTCTAGAGAGTCCAACAGTTATATTAATAACTCATTTGGTTTACCTCACGTTTTAGTGAAAATGTCTCAAGGCCTAAGGGCCACTGATAGCACATATTTAGACTATGGAAACACACAATGGTGACATTAAGTCAAGAAATAGTTGCTCCTGAAATTGACTTGTATAAGGATGAGTTGTCTTTCTATTAGATAGACAACATTCAAAGAAAAAAGCTCAAGACAATTTTAAAGCTCATAAAATAATACACATATAACAAACAAGATGACCACTGTTTTACGTACAGCACATTATAGAAATATAGTGATAGTTTTATTAAAAATTCTCTTTTCCAAGTCAGAATTGAAAACTGAGCACTGTCCAACTTTGTTTTATTAACGATGGCATTATTTTCTCTGATAATCCTTGATACTAAAAATATCCCACACAGACCACAAAAATGGCTAATGATTTCAAGACTTTAAAAATGTCCACATGTATATGACTATCAAAATTTTCTAGCTGTAAATCCTAAAAAGATAAAAGTGAATTTTTTATCATTTTGTTCTAGTGTCTTAGTTTGATTCTATAAATACCAGCTTTTTTTGAAAGGCTTTGCTTAAGAACTATAGGTAAATTGCGATTCATCAAGCTTAAGTGTAAATCCTGCTATAGAGAAAAAAAATTAAAGTAGGAAAAATATAAAAAATATTTTTGTCTCCTGATAAAAATATTTTTCAGAAGAGATGTCATCCTGAGCTGAGTACTCCCTTCTTATAGGCTCCCATAGCCCCCCTTATTTTCCTTTTCACATCACATCTCATAATATTAGACAGGTGACCACTATAGCTCTCAGCCAGAAGTGTCATGACTGCATTCTCTGAAGTATGGCCTGACGGTTGGTTGAGAGGTAAGAGCACAAACTCTGGAGAACAATACCTGGCTTCACATCTTGACTCTGCTATTATTTAATAGCTGTGTGAGCTTGGGCAAGTTCTTTCACTCTTGAGTGCTTCAGTTTTACCATGTTGAAATGGAGGAAAATAACTGTCAACTATCTTACATCAGTGAGATGATTTAACATGTATAAATTGCTTATGACAGTGCCTAGTACAAAATATGCACTAAAAAAATATTTTCTTTTGTCACCACCCTCATAGCCTGGTCCTGTCCTTGGTACATAATGAGTCTTTAATAAATATTAGTAAGGCAAATCAATAAGTGGTCAAGTGAATAAATGAATGACTAGTATAAAAAATGGAGGTTTTTTTTAAATGCAATTTTTCCATTTCACTCTGACATATATGACAGAGATCTTTTAAAACTATTTTGCCTTTTGGAGGTCCTATGACATATCACACGGAATATATTTAAATATGTCCATACATTTTGAAGCCACATAATAAATCATTTATTAATTTTGTTTTATATTTTTAATTTGTAAGTTGAAACTATTGTTTTTCAAGATTCAACATTTCTTAGGGCTTTTAAAAGCTCATAGGCAAAAGTGAATCATGTACGTGGCTGAGTATTAACTAAATGTCTACTGTATGTTTTGGCCGAATTACTCCATCACTATGTAAGAATAAACATGCAAAGCCATAGAGATTGTCAGTTTCCTTACAACCGTGAGACAAGAGCATTGTTCTAAAGCATACTGCAGGATCTAGACATCTATTCATTCTTCACAACAACATGTGGGAGCCAGATTACTATTTGAAATTCATTTTTAATTAATGAAGAAATGAAACACAGGAGTTGAAAGAGGACAAGAGAAACGCTGAATGGAGAGTGTCTTACTTTTTACTTGGGATGTTCATTAAAGCAAAGAAAAAAGTAGAAAAAGATGAAATACATAAAGTAAACAAAGGAAATCTTTCAAGCTAAGTGAAGCACGTATATTTAACAAAACATACAATTATTTTAAACATGTTTTACAGTAATTGGCAAAACATGGCTCAAATTACATAAAAAATGTTCCAACTAAGTCTGCTTTTCACATGACACACACATAGACACACACCACCAGCTATAAACATTCTCTGTTTACACACTGCTTTTAAATTCATGTCCATCAGACTAGAAAAATAAGAATCTTGCCAGCACTGAATGATAGAAAGCATAGGTCACCAGAGCAACTGTCATGAGACTTGACTCTCCCTTTCAAGATCAGTATGACAACATCCTAGCATGCTTTATGTGTTCTGTAGTGGAAACAGATGGATAGATAGATACATAGACAGACAGAGAGACATATAGATCTACAGGTCCTGGGAGAGATGTGATCAAGTAGAATACAGATAAAGAAAGAGAGAGAAAGAAAGGGAAAAGAAGGGGAGGAAAAAGAAAAAGAGGAGAGGCCAGCCGGTGGTTTTTATTTTCCAAAATCCTAAACCCTTCAATAACTGCAACATGGAAAGTATATATTAGGAAATATTTCCGAGGAAGAGAATTCTTCAGCTCCTCCCCTCCTGGCAAACAAAAAGAAATAATTTCTAGCGCTGAGCAACAGAGGCATCAGTGGGTCTGAGACAGAGAGAGAGGTGGCCTCTTGACTCCTACAACAAATCCCAAACGTCCGGATATTCAAAAGCAGAGGGGCATCTGTGTGTCCCTTCCTGGTTTGAGGTCACTGAGTGTGACTGGCTAGACAGCTGGGACATAGTGAGTGTCATGGGAAAGGCTCCATGCCTCAGGGGAACAACCCCCTACCCTGCACAGTGGAGCAGAAGAAGCCTAGAGATGGGCCAGAACAGGATGAGGCAAGATGATGGAATGAGGGAGGACTCAGGCAATACATGCCTGTCAAAACATTCAGCTCTCATGCCCCACACTTTGGTACAACACAGCACCCTCTAGAATTGAAACACAATCTGCTGTGGAAACAGGAACTCCACATTGACTGAGACACAGTTTCTGACATCACGGCAGAATAGGTGGTTGAAATAAAAATGAGGCTGACTTATAAAATAATAAAGGTATATTTCTTTCAAACCTGAGTTTGTAGACTGGGATTCAGGCCCACTAAGTTTAGTGAGTCAGTTCTGCATAAAGTCCTCTGGATGTGTGATACAAAGATTCAGTTTGAGGTTAATTAATAATACATTCTGTAGGAAGAAAATACTATTTTAGCCATGGTCAGTGACTTCTTTGGTGTTTTATTTTGGCTGCTACCTGACATAATAGTTTGTTGAAGATAAATATAGTTTTAAAAAATTGAAAACAATGCAGTGCTAATCATCTTTATATTCCTAGTGACTTTGACCCTCCAAAGATCCGGGCCTTTCAGTATTTAACAAGGAGCTTAGTTTTCCACTCCAGGCTCTTTGATTAAATTGATATGAAGCA